AAAAAAAAAAAAAAAAAAAAAAAAAAAAAAAAAAAAAAAAAGAATAGGAGTAGTGAATCCGTGGAATAGGAGGCGGTTCCATGGACAGGTCTAGTCTCCTTACCAACAGAGGCAACAGCCATTGTAACCAAGGGAAGGAATTTTGGTGATTTTAAGGGGCACTTTGAATTATAGGAGGATGGTAACAGGTAGGATGGGCTATTTGGGAGGTAAGAAAGAGTAAGAAAAACAGATGTGAATATTTTAGAAAACACTGGAGGTAACCACTCTGTTATTAGAAAAAGAAAAGTTTGTGTTGCTTCTGTTTTTTATGAAGACTTTTTGGGACCCTGGTTTTCCACTGGAAATTTGTAATTCCAAGACAGAGTTTATGAACAAATTATTAGCACAGTTTTTGTATTAATATCCTTGCTCTGCACATACTTTATACTCTGAATCATGCCTATGGCATAATTAATAAAGATAAGGTTATTTTTCAGTTGCAATGAATGGGTAGGTTTTGCTGTCTTATTCCATTCTAAGAATGGCTTCTTGGGATTCAAATCACTGGGTAGAAAGCAATGTTAACAACTATAGTAATAATAAAACAAGATTATTGCAGGATCCTAGAAAGTTAAAGAAGAATGGGAGAGATCATCTTATGTAAGTGCAAGATTTTACAGATAAAGAAATGGTAATAAGAACTATGGAATGACCTGATCAAGGTTGTTTAGCTAGTGGTAGTTGAGATTAAAACCTGAACCTTGCTGGGTGTGTTGATGCATGCCTGTAATCCCAGCAACTCAGGAGGCTGAGACAGGAGAATGACAAGTTTAAGGCCAGCCTCAGCAACTAAATGAGACTCTGCCTCAAAATAAAATAAAAGGGCTGAGGATGTGGCTCAGTGGTTAACAGCCCCTGGATTTAATCCCCAGCACCAAACAAACAAAAACCTGAATCTCCACATCTAGTACACTCTCTACAATCATCATTGGCATTTTTTTTTCCTTCTCTTTGTCAGAAAACTGGATTCTTACTGTGATCATTCAATGGAACCTTCTGTGTGCTAAGTGCTATGCCAGGTTCCCTCACATAAATTATCTTGTTTAATCTTTCTGAATACATATAGGAACCTCTGCTTTACTATCCCCATTTTACACTTAGAGAAATGGAATTACAGAGAGAGAAAGCTCCAGGTGACATGGTCAGCAAGCAGCAGGGCCAGAATTACCATCCAGGTCTCTTTATTACAAATCCAGTGCTTATAATTACTACATTGGATTTGATATCAAAAGTTTCAAAAATTATTTTAAAAATATTTAGCTAATGCTTGAACTAATTCACTCACTAGTGAACTTACAGGTGGAAAATTAGAATAGCAGTTGCTTTAGTGACTTGAAACCAGCTGCTTGAATTGTTGTCATTTGTGTGCCCATTCCTTATAGTTGTTGAGTTGTTGTTGCAATGTTATCTTCCTAAGGAGGAGCAATGAGTGAGGAATAAACAAAGTCAAGATGTGGCAAGCATGTGTGGGAAGTGCAGTGGTGCATTCCTGTAATCCCAGTGGCTAGAGAGGCTGAGGCAGGAGGACTGCAAGTTCAAAGCCAGCCTCATCAATTTAGTGAGGCACCAAGCAACTCAGAGAGACCAGTCTCTAAATAAAATATTAAAAGGGCTGGGGATGTAGCTTATTCTGGGTTTTCCTCACTTTCAGCCAGTGGTTAGTTGGCTTAGCAGGGACCCCATATCATCCTCCTTGAGGTTGATAACCCAGGGTTAAGCATCCCTGGGTTCAATCCCTAGTACCAAACAACAACAACAACAATAACAAAAAGATATGGCCAGCAGGGATGGCATTTCTCTTTAGGTTTATGGGGGATAGAAAAGACCTACAGGGCAAATAATAGGACAATAGGACTCCCCCTTCTTTATAAACTAGGAGATTATGCTTCAAATAAGCTTGGTTGGGGCTAAATTCAAAAATAGTAAAGTCATGTAAATACAGACAGCCTTAGGGATTGAACTCGGGGCTACTCGGTCATTGAGCCACATCCCTGGTCCTATTTTGTATTTCATTTAGAGACAAGGTCTCCCTGAGTTGCTTAGTGCCTCACGTTTGCTGAGGCTGGCTTTGAACTCATGATCCTTCTGCCTCAGCCTCCCAAATAGCTAGGATTACAGACAGCCTTAGTTCTTGATCCTGATATGCTGTTTGGTTGTGGGCAGTTTGTTTTCATTGTATATATATGAATATAGGCTGAGGATTTTCCTTAGTAATGTTAAGTCCTCTGTACTTCTGGTCTGCCCTCTAGCAGGCTGTCAGAGATCCTATGGTTTAGAGAAAAATTCTAGAGTCAGAAAAATAATCAGTATAAAGGTTCCTTAAAAGATGAGTCTTGGAACCACCATGTGACCCAGCTACACAACTCCTCAGTATTTATCCTAAAGAATTAAAGTCAGCATGCTACAGTGATCCATGCATACCCATGTTTATAACAGCACAATTCACAATAGCCAAACTATGGAACCAGTCTAGGTGTCCATCAATGAATGAACAAATAAAAAAATGTGGTATATATATATACACTGGACGTTTTTTCAGCCACAGGGAAAAAAATGAAATTATGTCATCTGCAGGAAAATGGATACAACTAGAGACCATTATGTAAAGTGAAGCCAAACTCAGAAGGTCAAGGGTCATATGTTTTCTCTTATTTGTAGAAGTTAGAGAGGAAAAAATAAAATAAAGATGGGGGAATCTCTTGAAAATCAAAAGGACATCAGTAAAATAGAGGAAAGGGAATTGGATAGGGGCAAGGGAGGGAGAATATTGGCCACATTATATTGTTATATTGTATGCATGAATGAATGGGTAACGACAAACCCTACCATTATGTACAACTATAATGCAGCAATAGAACATGTGGGAAAATAATAATATATATATATATATATATATATATATTTTTTTTTTTTAAGTAAGGACATGCTGTGGAGACTTGTAGTGGGCACAACCAATGTCCATGGAAGTGGTCCCCAGAGCTACAGCTGAAGTTTCAGATGAGTCAAGGGAATGTAGCATTTGCCACAGCCCATCTCCTACCAGTTGGCGGGGACACTTGTACCTTGTATTGTGACCCATCCATCCCTGACTCTTCAGAAGATCTTAAGACAGATTAACTATAGCTCCCTCCCTGCAGCTGGTTCCAGGCTTATTAATGATATTCATTATCTCCCTCCTCCTCTTCTTCATTCTGGGTCTTCCTCACTTTCAGCCAAGTGGGTAGTTGGCTTAGCAGGGCCCCCCTATCATCCTCCTTGAGAGATCTAGCCCTTGTTTGCCTTATCTTTATCAGTTATGACCATTGTCTTTTCTCTGTTCCATGAGAGCACCAAAGTGCTCCACGTGTCTATCAAGCCCCACATAGACCCCTTGCCATCCACCTTGTGAAAAATCAACCTCAGCATCTTATGGTGAATCTGGTGAATTGCCCTTGCCCAGGTAACTCCTTTCACTCCCTGATGATTCACTGGCATGAGAAGCCCAACAGGACCAAGCAATGATCAATGTGCTTTAGGTTCAGAGGACCCTTAGGGTGCTTGTCCCCTGTATAAAACTTTGCCCATACTTTCTACCGCCCCCTCCACCCCTGTTCCGACCCAGAACCTCTAACGTCAGAGACTCAAGTGGTGGTGGTGGTGGAACACATATTCAGTAGTCAGGTAGGGAGATGGCAGGCCTGTGTACACTAGCTATTTGGGGGCAAAGGGGGTTTATTGTTTGCATACACTACGCTCTAAAGAGCGTAGCACCCTGACCCTGAAGATGGTAAACTTGGAGCTGACACCTTGAACACTTGTTGAAGAAGGTCTGGAAGTTAACTAGGTGAAGAGGAGTGGGAACAATGGCCCAGGTGAGTGAAAACATGCGCATGAGTGAACATCCTTGTCTCAGGAATGAAAGAAGGACTTCTGGTTTTGAGTGGACTTTAAGGGCATAGGACCTGAGAGATGGATGGAGAGAGAGAGAAAGCCAACTACTTAAGGGCCCTGTGGGTCAAATGAAGGAGTTTTTATTTTAAGTGCAATGGGAAGTGATGCGAGCCCGGTGTGTACATGGGAGCTTGGGCGTGTGAAGTAGCAGGTAGCAAAAAAGATAATCAGCTTTGTACATCAACCTCCCAAAGACTTCTGGGCTGCCAGATGGAAAAGACATCAGAAGGCACCAGAGAAATTAAGGAAGTAGACCTGTTAGAAGACCACTGAGTGGTCCAGGTGGGAGATGATGGTAGCTTGGCTCAGACAAAGCCCTCCATAAATCATGGGCCCTACTATTATTGCTGATTCGTAAGTAGAGAACAGGCTTGTGTTGATGGGGAATCACAAGCTTCTTTGGGATTTATGTGGTCTCTTTGATCTT